TGCTGAACCTAGAAACGTTCACTGTAAGAAAGTACTCACTGATGCAAATGGAACATGCTGTGCTTCCTTCCAGAGGCAGGAAGGTAGCTAAGGTCCAGTCACTAAGCACTCAGTTCACATGCCAGTGTTCAGCCAGGTTTTAGTGGAGCATTGACAACTAGAGTTCTTTTAAGCACTACAGAAACAACTGATTGCTATTTAGCAGCATCGTACAACCTGAATTAAAGTCAGTACAGGCTGATAGTAACAAGGACACCATATTTTATCTTTCTTGTCACACTGCAATGTCCAAAAACAGGCAGTAGGAAGGACAGTGGGTAGACCAGTGTCTTGCAATAGATCACTGGGGTTTTTCCCCCCATTGAAAGAAGTTGTATGGCAGAACTTATAAAACTAGTAGCAGTAGAACTGAATATGGTTACTGGAGATTAGACTGTGGCATTGTGATTGATCCACAAGCCTCAAGAGAGCAAGGGGAAGTAAAGAAATACTGCCATCATGAGGGATGAGAGCTGAGGTCTATCTAATACCATTTGATGGTTTTGAAAATGGAGGTAGGTGTGAACTAAGGTGTGATTTAGCTAATAAAGTCACCGTGTGTCAAGAAATTTGGTTAATACCTAAGGCAAAAGGTGTCCTTTCATTTGACTTTTAGTAAGGTTCCATGGAAGACCAGTAATATCCATGGAATGTTCATGTCTGCCCTTAAATATGAAATCCTTTCTCTCTGTGATGTGTTTATGAAATCTGTAATCTAGTCATCTGAATGATCGTGTTTGATCTTACTTCGGTTTGCCATCTTGTAAGTGAAGTCCTTACGTTATGTCCCCATCTCAGATTTTGTAAGAGGATTTCATATACCTCTTCACTATTTGCAAATCAGAAATGTTTCATTAGCTCAGTAATCATCAGTAATCGTCATCAGTGATTTGACTTCAAGTGGTAACTGTGCGATTGCCTTGAGATAGTGACTCGGTGGTACTGTTAATCTAATCATTGGCTTTTAGAATCATAGAATAGTTAGGGCTGGAAAGGACCTTAAGATCATCTAGTTCCAACCCCCCTGCCATGAGCAGGGACACCACACGCTAAACTGTGTCGCCCAAGACTCTGTCCAGCCTGGCCTTGAACACCGGCAGGGATGGAGCATTCACAACTTCCTTGGACAACCTATTCCAGTGCCTCACCACCCTCACTGTGAAGAACTTCTTCCTTATATCTGTTCTTTCATGTGCACCTTTCAGCTTTCTTTTTTCTACTTTAAGCATCCTGTCTGAAAACACTTACCAATCCCATTAAGCTGATAAATCCATAGCACAGATATGAAGTACATATTAAGATGGATTAGGAGCTTCATGGTGAAGCTAAGGAATTATTTTTATCATGAAATGCTGCTAATGGATTAGTTATTTGTGTAGCTTGTGTAAAGCTCATTTGGCAAGATCTGGGAACATGCATAGAATGCTCAGGAATAAGTAACTAAAGCTTGCTTTCCTGTTGGAATTTCAGGAACTTTCATTTTTATTCTTCCACGCACATCTTAATAGCAAGTTTGTATTTATGTTCAATATAATGTGCTATTACACCCCCCAAAAAAATTAATCTTTTGCCTGATTTGTCTCATCTAGATAAATCTTCTAATTCATAGGGCTTCGTGTACCCAGGGTTGTCTCAAGTCTTCCCAAGAGTCTGTCTTAACTGTTTCAGACAGTTTATTTTCAAATGCTGGGTCTGGGTAGCGGTGGCTTATCCTCATCATTCATCTGCTGCTAGTGGGGCACTACTTTATAATAGATACCTTGAAATTTCTTACTAATTATTGAGTTAAACACTAACCATATGCAGTGAGGATTTTGCTTTTACTATAAACCTTCTCCGTAGAGAGTTTGATAATGTATCTTGCAGCTTTTGACAGTGTAGCAGAAAAGAACACTTAGAAATCTGCTTTGCTTTTATTGCCATGGAAATAAGTCTTGGATGACAAGAACAAGCAGCAGGATTCAGAGTAGTTCATGGAATATTGAGTGATTATTCTTAAATGCATTACCCTACTTATAGCATGGAAATATTTATTTCTAGTGGACATGCAGTTAAAGGAAGAAGTTGCATTTTTCTAAATGTATTCACTAACTTTAGCATGAAGGGGTTTCTGAAAACTTTTATTTCAGTTGCAAATAAGATTAAGAATCCCTTCTCTTTTTTTGGAACAATTAAACCCAAAATTCTATAGAAAGAAAAACTTGGATTTTCTGAGTCTGGGGAAAAACAAAGCATTTTCCCTACTCCTCTCTGAAAATCTCAGCTGTGTTTTGCAGAGAGAGGGTACTTCTGTAGGAGTAGAACCAAGCTTACCTTTCATGTAGCTTATGGCAAATCAGATAATGTGTTGAATGTACAGTGTGGATGTTTGGGTATGGGGGAGGAGAAAAAGGTTAAGTTTGACACCACAGTTATCTCCAGACTAATAAGCACTGTGGAGATGGAATCATTTCTAAAACGAAAGGTAGCAGCCAAGGAATGCTGTGGGATATCCAAAATACTTGGAATGCTTCTCCTCTGTTATCACAAGGTATGATAGTAGAAACTCTGCTCAGGGGTTTCATCTCTTTGGAAGGTAGAGACCTTTTGGAGGGTGATGCAACTTTCTGAGCCAGCTACAGTGCTTTTATCTCAAGACCAATGTAATTCACTCTGAGGGTATTGGCTTCTATGAATATAAGAAGTAAAGCATATAGTTATGTGTTCCTGGTGAAAGTTAGCTTTTTTACCTGTAAATACTACATGTAATAGTGTTTTGCCTTAGCAGTACATCAGCCTTTTGTATGTTCTTTGTATTTTTAGGGGTGCCGAATGTCTTTTATTTTCTTATGCTTCCTTATGTGAAATAGTTTTAAACCAACAAGCAACATGCTTTCCAGTAGAAAGTTGTGTAGAAAGTTCTATCAGAAACTGAGATCTGATCATCACAATAACCTGGAAATACCATAACCTCCATGTATTTTGGACTGGTTTTTGGTTGTGGTTTTTTTTCTGTGATGGGCACTTAAGAACTTATTTTCACTTGCAGTTTAAGATCCTAAATGTACCAATGTCTTCTCAACTCGCTGCAAACCACTGGAACCAACAGCAAGCTGAACAGGAGGAGAGAATGAGGATGAAAAAGCTCACTTTGGATATCAATGAGCGTCAAGAACAAGAGGACTACCAGGGTAAGAACATCACCAAGTATTTAATCTTTATTTTCAGAGGAACTTTAGTGGACCTACAGAAAATATTATTTGTGATAATTAGCAGTTCAAGTTCTGAATATTGATTTGTAATACTTCATGGAAAACCTGTGGTTTAGTTTAAGTCATTCATTATTTTCACCCTTGTCCCTGTGCTTGAAGAATTTTGTATAGCTCTTCCATGAAGTTGTTTTCAAGTGGCCCTCAAATTTCAGCCTTTCCATTTATTTTGGGAAAGGGGAAAAAGGGGAGGTTGTTACCTTAAAAATGAGATAACACAAAATTAATCTGATATTTGTGGCATTGTCTCCATTACTGCAAGACAATTGAGTAGGATACAAGAGGAATTAATTCTGTGCAACTTAAGCTTTGCTTTTTAGATATTAATAGATATTTTAGATATTAATAGTATTTAGAATGTTCATCACTTTTGCTAAGACTTGCAAATACTAAGAGATAACCTTCACCTGAGAAATAAAAACTGTCACTGCTTCCTATTGCTAAAAGTTCTAGGAGTGCTACAAATCTGGAGCATAAGAATATATTAACAGAATGAAGGTTTCATACAAATTTATATGACCTAATTTGATTTTTAAAGGTAGGTAAGTCAGGCATTTCGGAACCCAGACACGTTGAAGCAAACAGTTAATACAACAGATTATACAGCCCTAAACTGGTTGGTGCACTTGACGTGTTTGGTTGTGGGGTGGTTTGTTTTGGCTTTTTTCTATTTTTCAGTCTCAACTTTGGCTTACTCAGATAGTAAACAAAAGCCAGACCAATAAAACCAATGGCGTTCAGCTCTTACCTTAGCATTTCCATTTAACATCTCAGAAGTTACTGCTCTGTGTTTTGGTGAAGATGTTGCAGTCAGGTGGCAATTACAGTATAAGTAGTTCGTTAGCAGGAATCTCACTTAAGGTATTTAATGAAAGGTCATTATTCATCAAGAAAAGGGAAATTTAAATTAAAGCAGCTCTAATTCTAAAACCACTATGGAATCTAACACTCCTTTCAGAACTCGCATAGTACAAGAACTAAACTTGTAATTGTAAGTAGGTGTCTACAGAGCTCTGAAATGGTAACACAATATATTCTTAGCGTTAAACATCGTAATCAGCTTAAAACAGTCTTTTCTGAGACACTCCCCTCTAATAAAGTCCACTTGTGAAAAAGGAAAAGAAACAGTAGAGTCTAGAATTGGACAATTCTGTGCTTTTCTCGGGCTTTTTGTGGGTTTTCCTTGTTTAATGATATTTCTGATACTTCTGCTGCCCAGGGCGTTTGGGTTTTTCTGCCTTGTTGATATCTTTAAAATCAGTCTGTTTAATACAAGATTTTATTGTGAGCAGTTGTGCTTCTTATCCGAAAAAAGGATCACACTGGTTTTGCCCAAGAGAAGCGACTCAGGCAACCGATCCCAATTGATAACAAGTCAGCTTGCAAATAAACCATTGATTTCTTTGAACTTTCTCATAGATTTTTCAGGTGCTGTGTCAAAAGCATTAAAATAGGAGGAAAATCAACACGGAAGAAGTAGGCTTTCCCATAATTGACATCCATTTTTAAAACAGCTGCTGATTGTTTTTTAGTAATGTGGGTAACACACACAGTAAAAACTAAAAGGAACCATTTAATCAGGTTAAATTAAACAGGCCAAATTACACTCCTCTTTGAAACTATTTTTTATTTCTATTTTGTGCAATTCACTGTTGCTTGCCTGTAGTTGGCATGTACCCATTGAAAGAAAGAGTTGGGCTTAAGTTTCTGTTTCAAGCTTTGGAGTTACAAAGGAAGGAAGAAATCTCAATTTCTGGAACAGTGCCTTAGAGTTGTCCTACCATTTGCACATACATTTGGGGTGGGGTTTCTTTTCGTCAGCACAACGTAGCTAATAGGTGAAAATTCACCATTCAAAGTGGTATCAGATAGTTATTTAATACTTCAACAATGTTCATTAGTGTTACAAACATTTTTAGTTTAAAGAAATACTAGAAATTGGGTGACTTATTTAGACTGGTGTTTTTCTGCGTAGATGATGATTTTCTTCACTAAAACCAAACATGGGTGACATGCCTTCAGTCTACCTAATACATTGTGCTCCCTTGCCATGTCTGCCTTCTGTTATCTTCTCCATTACTCAGCTTCTCAGTTACTGACTTTTCACAAACCTTGCTATTTTCTTTCACCTGCAGTCTGGAAAACAGAAGAGACAGGCAGGCACATGCTTCCTGCTTCATTGCACCTGGCTGGCAATGAACCATAAACTCTTCTTATTTTCTTCTCCAGCCTTGTCATTGCCAACAGAGATCTCCCCTAGCATACAGAATTGTTTTGAAGGATGGTATTACGTGATGTTTACAAAACTGGACTGTCAGCGTGTTGGAAGGGCTTGCTTTGCCTTTTCCAGGTGTTGAAAGGGGAGTCTACAGACCATGAATACATGGTTTATTAAACTGTTGACACCAATATTGTATGTTAAGTCATTCATCGATTCCCAGTTTCTCAAAGACTGGGTGGATAACATACCAAAAACTTTGTGTGCATTTTGTAAGTGGCCAGAGAATCTCATTAGAGTCTCTAGTTCTGCAAGTCATTGTGAGAGTAGTGGAATTCATTTCTAGCAGATGATGGGTATGTGTCTCCAATGAGATTACCAGAGATTAGAGAACCAGACAGAGCAGACTTTCAAACTTAATCTGTTTAACAGTTCATTCTGCTTTTCCTCTTCATTTATTCCATCTGTCTCATTGCTGAGTAATGTAGATTCTTGCACAGGTGGACTGTCAGAAATACTTTCATTAGCTGCACTAACATATGGGCAAAGGGTTACTATGCTGTGTTTGTAATTACAGTGGGTAATTAATAACCAGCGACTTGGCCTGATAAAGAACCATTTTTGTCATTAAATTTTAGAAAGGAAGTCTTACTAAATGCCAAAATACAGTACTTGCCTAGCTTAAACTGCCCTAAAGTTAGATGTCAAGTGCTCAACTGGGTAGCATAGGCTTCTTTCTGCACCCACCTATTTCTTCCCAACTGCTCATAAAGTGAATATCTCATCCACAGGACAGTGTAATGTAGGTCAGCTGAGTCACATCTTCAGGTGCCTGCCTTCTCTGCAACAGGATCCTATTATGGATAGCTTAAGCTTAAATAACTGACTTTTCAATTCCTAATTTTAGGACAGGTTTCTTGCTGAGTCTTTAATTGGCAGCAACATTGTCCAGGTGTTACTATTTCAGGGTAGTTTAATGTGGTTTCTCTTACTGCTGAGAAGCTTTGTCCCTGATCATTGATAAAGAAAGAGGTGGCTGGTATCTTTAGAAAGAAAAGGTCACAGCCCCTTTCTTAAGCACCTGTGATGAAAACCATCGCTGGCAGCTTTTTCTGTTCCAGAGAACACCTGGAAATGCAAGGTCATATTATGGGGTAGTTTGGGTTTGTCAAAGCTGTCTATGCAATTTAGTAACTCTGTCAAAATTAGCTGTTGCGGAATAAACTGAGGAGTGTTAACCCTGAAGCATAGCAAAGTGTAACCAAGGTGTCTTTTTATGGCAGCGAAATGTGCTTGTGTAAATTCCTCATGCATAGAAAATGTATTTCACTTTGTTCTGGATGTCATTACAGAAATGTTGCAGTCTCTGGCCCAGCGTCCAGCTCCAGCAAATACTAATCGTGAACGGCGGCCTCGGTACCAGCATCCGAAGGGAGCACCTAATGCGGATCTAATCTTTAAGACTGGTGGGAGGTAGGACAATCTTCCTTTAACTGTGGTAATTCTGGTTCTAAGCAAGTAATTGCCTTCATAATGGAAACCGATAATGATCTGTGTAGTGCAAGTGCGGTTGTTAGTAGGTTCCTTTCTAAAGCATTCAGTTAAAACACTGAGCAGTGGTTTGTGCTTCTAACACAGTGTCTGTAAATACCTCCTAGAGTGAGGTTTGGAAGCCAGAGGATTATTTTTCCAGTTGTGAAATGGCTGGTAGCATCTGAGCCTTTTTATAGAGGAAAGGATTCAAATCCTGCTTCCTCTGTGAGAGGGGGAGAGGATATTTTTGAGTATCCAGAGAAATTCCTGTTGTGCTTCTTCAGTTTAGTCAATTTGTGAGCTACATCTCTGTATTTGAAGCCCTGAATGGAAAGTAAATACAGTAAAGTTGGGAGGGGGCAGGAGAACTTTAGATTAATGGTGTGCAAGAGCATACCAAAACCAGTATTAACATGAAAAGAGCCATTCCAGCTTGCCTAATAGACATTCTACAGCTTTAATACATCTGTGTGTCTCTTCTCACTCAGAGTAAGCTTGCAAATAAACCATTAAATTAGCCCTGCAGCACAAATTTGAATAAATGGTTTCAGGTGAAACACAGACTGCTTTCATGTTTCTTTTTTCTTTGCAAGTTAATTTTGGAGGTGGCTAGATAGGAGCAGCAGCTCTGAAGGGAGAGTTTACCTACTAATGGGTCTTTGTCAACTACAAATAAGTTAATGTACTAATCCTATGTAACACTAACATTGCCAACTTCTTTACTTCTTTGTGGTACATTCTTATAGTCTTATTATACCTTCCTGATGATCACTCAGTCCACTGAGATCCATACACACAGGGTACAAGAAAAACCAACCCCTCTTTTGAAAACAGACTGCAGTTTAAAATAAACATTAACCAGATGTAACTCAATAAAATGAGCAGTGCTGTCCACTTAGCTTTTTCATACCACTGTTGCAGAAGTACAGACTATTCAGTTACACGAATTTCTGTAATACTTGCAGGTGTTTCAGAAGTAACTGTGCAGTTGTCTTCCTGTTGTCTTTCCCAAAAACCTTCTAACCTGTACAAGGAGAGCACTGCAGTTGTGCTTTACATACAGCAGCCAGAACAGTACATGTGATACTTGCAGATTGGTTTTTTCAGTGCAGTTCTTTTGAAAGCTTTTTGTTTTCAAATGTTTCAGGGGAAATATAATTTAGGACTTGACTTAAACTGTTCACTGTAAGCTAGGTCAGACTTTGTCCAGTGAACAGTTCAAGTAGTGTTTGCTTGCTCGAATAGCTGTGCCATGAGCTTGCAATTCTGATGTAGTTTTGTTTTATGTAATTTACTCTTTGTTCCTTTTAATCTGTAAGCTCCTTAGAGCAGGGACCAGGAAGTTTGCTTTAGCAGGCATATTTATTTGTTGTGTAGTGCACTGCTCAGGCACACAGTCATGCCTCAGTTGAGCCATCTTAGCCTGTACTGAGGGAATGGTACTTTTCTTAACTCTGAAAGGTATTTTAGCAGAGATAATATTTATTGGAGTCTGTGGCTTACCACGTCTGGAATGGATTGTCTGTCACCTACGTTTTACAGCTTCTGATTTACAGGATATATTGAAGATTGTGTTCTGATTTTGAAGTGTGAACTGCAGTCCCTGCCCAGACTTCCCTCATGTTTTAGTGAAGAAGTTACCCCACACACTCTGAGGACACTAGAGTATCTTCCTATTTGCTAAGAGCAAATAGGAACTGAGCTATTAATTTTAGTATTTGTTGGGAGAAGTTTTCCCTTTCCTATGTGATAGAACCAATTTGTGTAATTACCGATGTTATCACTTACATGATGAGTGAGCTGGGTTGTGTTGTTCCTTCTTTGTATATGAAGATGTTGTTTTCTTGCAGTAGTAACTCAAACTTATTGGAAGTAATGATATATGTTACTTTCTTTAAGGTATGCAACTTCTTATTCTAAATTTCCTGAGGTTAGGAACCATCTGAGGAATCATCTCCTGGTTGACTCCATTGTAATGCACAAACCAACAACTCTTGTGCTGCTAAGCATGTCTTAAGCACCATGTTTCAAATCTCTTTTAGGAAGTTAAATCCACATCTACCTATCATAACAAATGATTCAGAAAGCAGTGAAGGCAGCACTGGGTTCTTGTATGATTTTGACCTTGAACAACTGGATCTTGCTGTGTGGTTTGGACCTCATGACCTCCAGAGGGCTCTAGGAACCTGAAGTTTTCTGTGATTCTGTTTTAGTCTAATGGGGTGTTAAACCAAAGCAAACCCAAAAAACCTCCCCACAGAAGTGTTGCCTCCTTTGCCTGTGATAAACCCCCTGTAAGTGGAAGAATGAAGTAGTGGCTGTGGCTATACAAGAATGCATTTTTGTTAGAAAAACTAGAGAGAAATCTTTTGCAGTGTTTATTTTTTATCTCTTAATGTCCTTTTTCTGTGTTGAATTAAATGCAGGGAGATTTACAGGCTTTGTCAGATTTCTTGTTATTTAGCATGTGCAAAATGCTGGATCAGAAAGTGGGGTTTATTGCTGTTTGTAATCACCTGCTTGTATAGCCTCAGGTTTTAAGACCTGCTAATCCTGCAAGGAGGAGGTTCTTTTTGGGACTCATACATTTAAGGCTGATTGGCCTTAAAGATAACTTACTGTGATTCCATTAACAGTAGGGTTCCTTGATTTGCTTCAGCAGAGCTGGGAAGGCAACTGTTTTCACTCCTGCTACCAGTTCTGTAGCATTTGTGCACTGAAAGAGGACTTTGGCTACAGAGCTGTTAAACCGATACCTTCAGGAAACACAACATTCACAAAAGTGATTTTTTACAGCGATTGACAGGAAAATATTCTTTACAGTTCTGGAGAACAGCCTCTCACTTCATAAGAAAGTGTTTTTCCTTTGTTTATGGAGGATGGATATAAATGGCTTGCTTATAAAGTGAAATGAAACCACATTTTATGAAATCTGGTTAAAAACGTTGATTGCCAAGAAAGAAAAAAGAATTGCAGTGAGAAGCCTGTCTGTGGAGAACAGGCCTTACCAAGGAGTTCAATATCTTGTTAAACCTCTCCTTATTAAAAGCACTGACCTCAAAACTCACTGCTGCTCTCAAAGTAGATTGAAGAAAGAGGGACCTGTCTGCGTCAAAAGGCCCATTGGGATGTAGACGTAAGCTGACGAACTAAATCATACTCAATTTAATTGGTAGTTTTAGATCTCCTATTTGCATCTGCCTTCTTTATCCCTTTTAATGAAGAAAAATGAAGCATGAAGATAACAACAGGATGCTAGGATTTTATTAGTTAAATATTCTTATAATAGAGTATTGCATTAATGCTGAGAAATCAGAGTATGGATAATAAGGAAAAATGTGAATTTAACATGACTTCCTGTTTCAGCTACTGGACAAACACACTTTATACATCACCTGCTATATACTTGATGTATTGAACCAGTATTATATTTTGAAGCTTTGAATTCACTTCTTACTGATACACCAGAAGTCTTGGGCTGCATAAATCCAATTTCTCTGTTAGCCTCAGCCTAGCTTATTGTTGTAGACTACCACTGCCGCTTGCTCAAACTAGACATTCTTTAGTGTTGGCATGGCACTGTCTTGAAGTGACAGGTCCATCTCCTAGTTCATCGTGCAGCTTTCACAATCTTTAGCTGTCATTTTCAGTGACGTCTTGTATTCCTTAAAACGAAAACAAAAGAGAGAAGTCATCAGTTCTAGAATCATAGAACACCACTTTGGAAGGGATCCCCACACGGTGTTGGATATCTCATGTTAACCTATTTCTTTTCTTCTCCTTCTTAGGAGACGTTGATCCAGCAGCAAGTGTCATTTCATTAGGTCCTGTATCTCTGATGTTGTGGATAGTGGAGTCCTCCAGCGATTAAATGAGAGCAGTGGACACATCTCAGCATGTCAGTCTAGAGCGTTCAGAATCGAAACCTGGGACAGGCTGGGGCCGTGGGGCAGAACAACCGCCTCCCCTCTTCCCCCCCAAACCCTCATGGAACAAGTGGAAGCTTCCAGTCATGGCCTACCAAAAATACAAATAAAATATATTAAAAAAAAAAAAAACAAAAAAAAAGCTTTTTGTTACAGGAACCACCTTGAGGGTTAATCTTCTCATGAGAGCAGAAGTAAATGAAGGAGATGGTTAACTTGACCAGTGAGCAGCTCGGTGAAAACAAAGATCAACCCGAAATTCAGCTGGATTACACTGGAACTGAAAAGGTCTTTTGCCAGCTCAGTATGTGGGAGAACGGAGTTCTAAACTTGACTTAAGTTGTGTTATCTCCGAATCGAATGCTTTGTGTTGGAAGGATTTTCTTTGGGGGCTGAAAAGCTACAGTAGAAAAACATAGAGCAAACAGTGAGGTCTAAAAGGAAACCCTGACACGGAGGAAAACTTATCAAACACTCCTTAGCGAGAAAGTTGGTAGTTGAGAAATAGCCTTTTGCTGCCAGATGAGCAAGAAAGAAGGGGTGGGGAGGGGTGAAAAACTTCAGAGCCAAGGAGGTAAAATGTCTGTTGAGGTTTAAAATAGAACATGAAGTTGATGAACACAGGGTGTTGACTCGTACTGCTTGGAACAGCCTGACACCAGCCTGAGGACAGGGATGTAGTTGAGCCCATTGTATGTATCATTGAAAACCAAACTGTGCCAGTCAGCAGAACAGGAGGATGTCAAGGGGTGGATCCAGATATTTTGTTGATCTTCATGGGTTGATAAGCCTCTGTGTCTATTGAAACAAACAACAACAACAACAAAAAGAGTTTAAAAAAAAAAAAAAAAAAGATTTAAGTCTGGAAACAAGTAGAATTTTTATTTTTTTCTAAGTAGAAATGAGGTTTCTTGGTCTGTTTCTGACAATCTGTTATTTATTAGCATAGGTTTTTGTTTGCTTTCAGGTAGAGGTAGTTAATTGAGTTAAGGAGCTCATCTGTATGTTACTAATTCTTTTTTCTAGCTCTTTTAAAATCCTTTTTACCACTGTTTTTGGTTTCTGCATGTAGGAAGAGACTTGTAAAATTGTAACATTTCATACAGAAATGCTGCCCGATCTTCACCAGCTTCAGAAATCTGATCTTTGCCAATGCTGCAATAAAGTGTTGTACTTTACAACTGGTGTCTGCCTCTTTACGTTGATGTTGGTCTTCTGCAATGATGGTTTGGAGAGTTTGTGGTTTATAGTGGGGCTGTAGCTCTGACAGTGCTTCATACAGGCAACATAAAAACAGATAAAAGGAAGAAGTTCTTTACAGTGAGGGTGCTGAGGCACTGGCACAGGTTGCCCAAGGAAGTTGTGAATGCTCCATCCCTGGCAGTGTTCAAGGCCAGGTTGGACAGAGCCTTGGGTGACATGGTCTGGTGTGAGGTGTCCCTGCCCCATGGCAGGGGGTTGAAACTGGATGACCTTAAGGTCCTTTCCAACCCAAACCATTCTGTGATTCTATGGCAGGAGCATTCCTTGAGGTGTGTTTAGTAAATGCAAGATTTTCTTGATACCTAGCAAGGAGTTGTGAAACTGGGATTGTTGTTTCCTGTAACATAAGCTGCTACATGCACACAGTGGCCCTGAAAGATGGGACATAAAGAGCACCTCATCTGTCACAGCCTCGTGTTGCCCCCTTTGTGTGCAGCCACGTGGTGAACTGAACCAGCAAACTGGCCTGATGAGGGGTTCAGTCAAGGAGTGATGCTCCAGAGAGGAGTCAAGGTTTTTACAGCACACATGAGCAATGTGGGGGGACCTCACCGCTCTCTATAACTACCTGAAAGGAGGATGGAGTGAGGAGGTGGCGGGTCTTCTCTCCCAAGTAATAAGTGGTAGGTAAGAGGAAACAGCCTCAAGCTGCTCCAGGGTGGGGTTAGATTGGATATTGGGAAAAATGGCTTCATCTAGAGGGTGATCAGGCTCTGGGAACAGGCTGCCCAGGGCAGTGGTGGAGCCTGGAATCGTTCAGAAACCATGTAGATGAGGCCCTTAGTGGCATGGTTTAGTGGTGGCCTTGGCAGTGCTGGGGTAAAGGTTAGATTTGATCTTAAAGGTTTTTTCCAAGCTAGTTCTTTCTCTGATACCTACTTAAAGTTGTGTTCTTTAATCGCAGAATTGAGCACTGAGGCTGGAAAAACTGCAGGTGCAGCTTTGGGTCTGCTCCTGTCATTAACATGCTGTAACAGCAGTCCGGGATTGAGGAGCACTGGAACTGCTGGAGCACGTTTTACCTGAGGATCTTGCTGCTCATGTTGGTGGTAGACACCTTCCAGCCTGCGGAGCGTGGCTCGAAGCTCTTACACCATCACATGTAGATGTGTTCCTCTGGATTCTGCCAGATCTCATTCTGTAAGGAAGCGAGTATCCCGAAACCCCCATGTTTCCAAACCATCTCCAGATGCGGTTGTCTCTGTGCTTGGAGGAGGTACTTTCCATGCCCTGGCTGTGGGATGCACAGGATGTCGTGGGAAGACCAGCTCTTCGTTTCAGGTCTTGTGTGGTTCTTTTCATATCAATTTTTCTCCATGTTAGATTTCTTTGGTACATTTATTAATCACATTTGTAACTCTGAGCTCCTCCGGGAGTGTCTTCTACAGCAATATAACCATTATCCATCAGTCAAATCTAATTTCCATTCCCTGATGATTAATGCTGACCAATTCCTAATGGTGAATTAAGCATCTAATTGGGGTTCAAACTGAAGTCAACTTCCTTTTCTCGATATGCTGCTTAGTTTCAAAAGCATTTAACTTATCCAAATTGAGTAACTGCATAAAAATGAAACATTAGCCCTGTTTTGTATGTGTCAGTCTAATACCTTGGATGGAATTCGGATCAATGGGAATATCTTTATGTAATTATTTGCTGAGAATAGCTTGGGGTCAGCTGGGGATTTCCCTGACTTCAGGCTGAAGTCCAAAACCAAGGCACTTTTGCAAAGACTAATTCCAAAGCAGTGCTCCTGAGCCTGCATGGAAGTAATTAAATCTGGGAAAATGTACATAGATGAAGGAGAAATTGTTCTATGACCTTGATTGCGTAAAAGATCTCTGTTATCTTATTGTTCCTTGGAAAGAATTTGGGCTAAAGTCAGGTCCAAGCATTTGCAATTGCGTCTTCACTGCTGTGAGGCTCGAGCTGTCCTGATGACAACCAGAGAATGTGCTGCATGATTGTACTCAGTGATTCTCTTGCTTCAGTTTTTGACAGTAGTATCTCCTTCTGCATCGCTCAGGCTTAAGGCAGGGACTGGGGGAATGAAGACCCTCCCATTGTAGGAGATCACTTTTGTGACTACCTGAGGAACCTAAACACAAGTAAGTCCATGGGATGCACCCTGGGACATCCCAGAGGCTGGAGCACCTCTCCTGTGAGGAACGGCAGAGAGAGCTGAGGTTCAGCCTGGGGAAGAAAAGGCCCCAGTTAGACCTTAGAGCTGCTTCTAGTGTCTAAAGGCAGCCTACAAGAAATTTGGAGAGGGACATTTTACAAGGACTTGTAGTGAGTGACCTGACAAGGGGAATGGCTTTAAACTGCCAGAGGGGAGATTGAGGTGAGCTCTGAGGCAGAAGCTCTTCCCTGTGAGGGTGCTGAGGTGCTGGCACAGGGTGCCCAGAGAAGCTGTGGCTGCCCCATCCCTGGCAGTGTTCAAGGCCAGGTTGGACACAGGGGCTTGGAGCAACCTGCTCTCGTGGAAGGTGTCCCTGCCCGTGGCAGGGGTTGGAACTGGATGAGCTTTAAGATCCCTTCCAACCCAAACCATTCTAGGCTGTATGGCACATCACTTGACAGCCTGTTTGGGCTGAGGTGCTGTGTCCATTCTTGCTCCAGCATGCAGTGGCTGGGGAGCTCTGAAATCAGAAAGTTGACCCCGGAATGTCAGCACTCACAGGCAACATCTTGCTGGTGCTATCAACCATTTTCCTCTACCCTGCAATGCTGTAATGTGATAAAATTAAAGAAGAAAGGGTGTAAATCTTTTTCTTTTTTTCATGAATTGCTGAGTTTTCACTTGCTATAATTTTATTAACTTTCCAGGCCTTGGGAGAAGGAAGCCCATTGTGCTGTTTCTGTTATGGAGCTAAAAATACTATACACAAACACATCGCTGCACATACACTGCAGCACACACTCCTAATGTAAATTGATGTATATTAAGGCTTAGCAAACCCCATCTGTATTGTGGAAATTGCCTGCTTTGCTCAAGTTTTCATGTTCTTTCATTTGCCCTTTCCAGCATTGTGTGCTTGGCGGAGCAGCACCGGGAGAGCCGCGAGGAGCTGCCATGTTCGGCTCCGGCAGTTTGCTGATCCAGCTTTCTCTTTACATGGGAATACATTTGACTTAAGTAAATGCAGTGCTGCTCCAAAGTGCTGACTTGGGAAATAGCCCTGGATGGGCTCTGCGGAGTGGCAGTGCAGCTCTTCCCAGCCCATCCCATAGATCCAACTTGGAAGGGCCATGGCCAAGGGTGAGCAGTTACTAGTCCATAGTGCATGTTCAACCTGAAAGACCTGCAGCGCTGGAGGGACCAGCAGCAGTGTCAGCACTGCCCGAGCTGGGTCAGAGCATCACAGAGTGGTTTGGGTTGAAGGGACCTTAAAGCTCATCCAGCTCCAACCCCCTGCCACGGGCAGGGACACCTTCCACTAGAGCAGGTTGCTCCAAGCCCCTGTGTCCAACCTGTGTCACTGAGCCGCTGGTGGCCACACGCTCATTACCAAAATGGTTGTTGTGCTTTAATGCCAGGAGGTAAAATGAAGGTAGAGAAAAGAAAAAGTGAGTAAATAAACTCACTAATCACTATAGTCCCCCCCCAGTGGTGCTGTAGCTTTAAGAACCCATACCCTAGCCAGGTGAGTGACTATTATCAAAATAAACA